TCAAATATATATGTGTGTTATGTTCAATTAATTGCAGAGTTCATTTTACTGTCTTGCTAAATTTCAGGTTAGGTGATATAGTACTTCAAATGCTTAGAAAATCACTGTTATAATTAAGTCCAGAAAGTTACTTTATTTGCATATAATACTTCAGCCATCTAGAAAACCAATATTATAATGAATGGAAGTTATTTATTTGAAAAAAATTGTGAATATCAAGTATTTGTGCCACGTTTTTTGTTAGAAAAAAGGTGTATCATATGTTCCTGAGAACTCAACTAAACCATACTTCCTGTGATTTCATCTCTACTTGTATCCAGCTATTCGAGTTTTGAGAACCACTGACATTTTCTGCTTCAAATTTGTCTCCAAACTGTAGTAACTGGAAGATAGGAAATATAGCTCTACGACTGAGTGACATAAGACTGCTACTCACAGCAAATGTTACCAGTTTCTCTTCCTCATCCCAGTTTTTGATGTACTGACTGCTGGCCGGTAGATTCTGTGATAGCTCAGACTCCAGAATAAAATCCAAGGAAGCAAGAAATTAAAATTTAGGAAGCAAAGGCTTTATTTTAGGCCAGGCCTGGCAACGCAGTCTCCAGGAGCCAATATGGAAGACTTTGCGCCTAATAGCTAAAGGGCAGGGCTTTTATCTTGTAAAACCACAAACAGCTGCTGGTCTCACAATGCAAGGAGAGGGGCTGGGTTTGTGGCGCACTACAGAATAGGAAAACGGTGATTACATTTCTTGGGAAGAGCAAGGTTCAGGTAAAGGTTGGCTAACAAGCAAGTTTAGATTAGGCAAACATCCTCTGGGGGAAAGCACATCCTGCAAACAAGCAAGTTACTCTTCAAACAAGTTTAGATTAGGAAGATATCCTGTAATTTCCTGGTAGTTAAACATTTCTTAAGGAAGAGCACATTTTATTACTAATGGGCGGAAGAGTGCTGGCAGGGTTACAAGAGACTGAAACTTAAGGTTTTTATGGGAAATGGAAACTTACCTAGTCTAAAGGTGGGGGGGGGTGTGGCAATACAGAACAAGAAAGAGGTGCAATGGTTAGAACGAGGCTATAACAGATTCAAGGAAGAACACGTGTTAATGTTAAAACATCTCTCTCTCTCTCTCTCTCTCTCTCTCTCTCTCTCTCTCTGTGTTATGTTTTTTAGAAAAGCATTTTTCTTGGACTACAGCCTTATGTTTTCCTTCACAAACCAAAGAAAACTCTTTTTACATTCTGATGACTTACTGAGCTAAACATGAAAGTGTTCCATTGAATACGTGAAGTAGATTACACCATGGGTTTATCAGAAATGGGGATTTGATTTGTTCACATGAGCAGTTCGTGGAGGAGTGTTGCAGGGTCTTGCAGTCATTGTTTTGCTTTGCTTTATAAAACATGCTGATCATAACACTTTAGATAAGAACATGAATCATGTTTGATTAAATTGCTGAAAAGCAAATGGATATGACAACAAATACATGAACATTTTGTGAACAAGATGCTCCCTGTGTTAAGCTATTTTCTATGTAAATTATTTTTCCTTGGCAGTATGGTTTTGCTCAGTGTTAAATTACAACTGTGACAAAATTTTATAGTTTGCAAGAGACCTTGAAAACATTGTTTCTAACAGTAAAGAAAACAGAAGAGAGACAATATATAATCTAATATATAAATAATGTTAGCTAATAAGAGACTCAAGGTTAGTACTTAAAGCCCCTCATATTCTGTTTAGCTTCCTACTTACTTAAACTTTAAACTCCCATTCATGAAGTCTCTTTTAGAGACATACATGGAAATTCTTGTTTTGTAACATCTGAATTTTTACATTAAATACATTTGATTGTTGCTATTGTAAAGAGCATATATGATAATAAAATAGCAAATGATTTTTTTCTAGCATCTATTAATATTTGGCTTTAAACAAATATGTATTATCTTATTTACCTTTTAAAAGATAACCTTGTGGTCCTTTGTATAAATGGCATATTTTTAATGCATCAATAAGGTATTATTTAATGTATGTGCTGCAGCTGTCAAATATATGCAAATCATTTTAGTGCAGTGATATGGAAATCTTTCCATGAAATCTTGTTAAAAATATCTCTGAAAATTCACCTTCATATTCATTCAAAAGAGTGGATGAACAGCATATTCCTCATGTAATTGGAGAACAAAATCAATAAGGCTCTCTTATGATCTGTCTTCCATGCTTTTTGGTTATTATTAGCACAGTAAATGTGAAATGAAACTATTTCTATGCTTTAATTTTCTCCATTTCATTTCAATACTTTTGTTCTTTTAGAAAATAAACACAAATGACCTGAATTTTCCACACAGATTCATTACTTCAAAAATCACCCAGAGGCTAGTCTATCCATTTTTCCCTATGCATCATCCATTTTAAAAGATATTTTAAAGATAGGATTGTGAAATTAACATCGTGTTTCATAGGGCAATGAATTTCAGAGAAAGAAGTTCTTGACTTGAAGTTATGCAGGGAAGGAACAACACAAGGTCTGAACGTAGCAAGTTTTTCTCTGCCACACCCTTCCACTTAATACTTTGCCACCTGGGTACATTTCCTAAAGCCAAATCTTTGATATATTAGTAAATATATTATTATTTAATAATGTGGTTAAAATATTTGTTGTTTCAAATGGAAGATCTATTATTTTCTTAGAATACGTTCAAGAATAGACCTTAGTGATATCAGATTCACTCACTGTTATTAAAATTTAGTAATTGTATGGACAAAGCTGCATGTAAGTTGCAATCGCTCTGTCCTCCATCTTGAACTGGTTCCTTTAATCATTTTGAAGCAAAGCCAAGCCTCTTCTCTCTGGAGCTAAATTGCTCCTAGAATCAAAAGACCAGTAGAGGGTGTAAGTGGGTTAGAACAAGTGAGCAGGAGAGATACTGTACATTTTAAGGTAAACCTAATTAACTATTGCACACATGCAAACAGTGAAAGATATACGGTAGTTGGTAATAAATTAAACTCTTTGAAATGTTTAGAATTGTAATTGCAAGCACATAGCCAAAATAAAATTCCAATTTTAGACTTTTGGGAAGAATTTAAACATCCATAGAAGAATCTTTGGAAATATTTTGATTCTATGTCTCCATGAAGCAAAAAGTACTCTTAAGTTTGCTAATGGCAAACTAACTCAATGAAGCAATTAATTTTGTGGAGCAGGATATAAAATTGTTTGGGAGGGTATCAAAATAATCTTTCAGCTGGGCACAACACCCTGCATCTATTTTCCTAACTCAGGAAGCAGAAGTAGATGGATCTCTTGATTCAAGAGCTTAAAGATGAGCCTATGCCACATAACAACGCATGAGAGAGACAGAGAGAGACAGAGACAGGGAGACAGAGACAGACAGACAGACACAGACACAGAGACGGAAATATTGTGTTAATGGACTTTTTGCTCAGTTATGGTTTTTTCATTCTAGTGTTAGTCAAAAATATAAGGCATAGTCTTATGAATACGTATCTGCAAAAATTTGTGGTAAAATAATGTTCAGTTTCCTTTCATGCCTATGCCACACACAATCCTCAATTTAATATATGTAACTTCAGTTTACTTAATGTTTATAAGATCTTTGAGAAATTTATGAAACCTTTGTCAAACATTTGATTCTTTAAATTAGTGTATTATTTCTGTAGATTAAGATGAAATAAATTTATTGATCCAAGGCAGGAAATACAATTTTAAGGTTCTGGTTCAAATTTGCATTTGGAAAGTCAAAATGAGCTTTCTTTTATATTCTGCTAGTTAGAAGGAAGAAAGTGTAATTAAGTGTAGGATATAGAAACAGAATTTGGTACTATCATCTAATTAGTATTCTCAGCCTCCGTACCTTTAAGTTTAAAAAATGTAAAGACCTTTCTAGTACTGCCTTCTCTGTTTATCTGAAGGTTATATTCAAATTCCTAGCTTCCCAAAAGTCAAATACACATCAAAATCTCAGAAGCATAGCTCATCCGTCACCACAGTTTTTATCTTCAACAAAAGTGTGCATTTTTTCATAATAAGATATTCATGAGATCTGCTAAATTTCATTTACTAAGTTCTAGATTGCATCAAAATCTAGGGATAGATTTGAGTCATACAGATGACTGCATCAAAGAGAGAATGATTTGAAACCAAACATATTATAGTATTCAGTGGTTCATGTTTTAAATGGAGAGAGGAATGACACATCTATAATTTAATTCAATGAGCTTTTAAGTAATGGCACACACTGCTATTTATGGTTCAAGCAATCCGGCTACAGAATTCTCATTTGACGGGGTTTGGGATGCCATCCCATTTGTGATTGATTTAACTTTAACAACAGATGGACCCCTCAGAAGAAAGGAAAACAGTGAGGGCACTGGAAATGTTACCCGTGGAAAAAAATGTGTCAAAAAGCTTTCAAGTAAATTAAATTTATCAAATTTGAGACTTTTATTGTTTTGTGTTTACCAAAGCTGTTTCATGTGAGGTTTCCAATTTTCATCTCATTGGTTTTCCAAAATATTTTTAAAGAATCTTAGTGCCCAGTTTTTGAAAGATTTTGCTTTTTCAAACTACTTGGTTACAATATTCACATAGAGAATTGTGATAACTTCGATGTGATAAATTATGTATTAGAATAATAGATCAATCAGTCAGAGGAACTGTGGAAGAGAAACGTACTACTTTTGGCAAAGTAAGGTCTGCAGTGTTTACATTTATCACTGAAATGTAGGGACTTCGACGTGGACTTTGAAAGGCATTTATTAATCATGATTTCATTAAAATTTTTGGCAAACTAATGACTTTTTCTTTGTCACAAATACTATTGATGATGTACTGCTAGTGTCCAAAAATACTAATCTTCACTCCACTGCTTAACGTTCAGTGTGATTGTTAAATAAGAGCTTGCATGAGATATCAACCTTTAGGTTATTAGAAAGGTCCAAGGGTTGGAACTAATCATGTTGCATATTTGCTTCCGCAGGATGATGTGTCTTTGTCAAGACTACATCTGTCAATTACTACACCTGGAATTCACTTACTATACCTCAGCTGCTGAAGAATGAGAGTTCTACGCTGGCAAAATAAATGGCTTTACTGGAAGTGGAGTGGAATGATTAATGGTTCAAAGTATTAGTGATTTGAGTGATTATGAAAACTTTGGATCTGAGTGAACTACTCAGAAAATTTAAATGTGTTTATCGCTAAGACTGCTTTTTAGTCTATAAACATACACACTTCTGGGGACATTAACCTTAAGGAAGTCAGGTTATAAAGAAAGAAACTTAAAATGCTAAGGGTTCCAGAACCTCGAGATATATACAAGTAACACAGGAAAAATTTGTTTTTGTAGTATACATACACATGCACACACACACTCACACACACACACACACACACACACGCACTAGTAAACTCTATAGAAATAATAACACATAAGAAAGATCCAAACTTGAATGATTTACTTTCTGTTGTTCGAAAAATTACTTAATTTTTTTCTTAAATCCATTTCTGGGTTGAATGTTAAGACTAATTTTTTTAAAATTTCTGTAAAATTAATATTGTGTTTATTTGATCAGAATTAATTTTGAAATGGATATATTAATTTTCTATTTGAGAATTAAGTGTTGTGTGTTTACTAGTTACAGTCACACAGGTTAAGTATGATTTTATAGTTTCATATTGTCAAGTTGAACTCTCAACCTAAGGTTGGTTATTTTTGGTTTTGTGATCAAATATAAATTAAATTTATGTTTCCAACACCATTATTTTTGGTAAAGAAATGTGCTAAATATGGCTAAATTTCCCACATTTCATTATTTGAGAAAGAAAGGGAGGACGTTGCAAGAACCATATTCTCTTTCTGAACGCTGATTTTGTCTTAACTTTTTAGTGTTGCCTTACATAAAATGAAATGATTAGATAAATTGTTTTCAATATTACTTATTAATCATAGATTTAAATATAAAAAATTTTGAAATTGGAGGTTCTGAAATTAATATTTTCATATTCATTTAATGAATTTTATTTCTAAAGTAATTACATATATAATAACAAATAAATTATTTTAAAAACAGAAAAGAGAAATACAAACTAATAAGAAAGGAAAACTGAAAAATATAATAATCCTAAGCAGTAATAAACTTAGGTCTGGTAATGTAGATAGAAGAGATTTCTAGAGCATAATTGATCAAAACAGTATTATTTATCAAAAGAAAGTGATTAATGAATAAGAAGTGAAAATAACTTTTTCCTAGGAAATGTGTATCATTTTCAAGGTTGCTCAACTAAACAAATTGTTATCTGGGGAGAGTTTACTACTGCCAAGTTCAGGCCACATCAATTTCTGTCTTTTTAATTGATTTCAAAAGTCCATAAGGGAAAAAGACTACATGTTTCCTTTTTTTTCCTAGACTTCTCTTCCTTTACCCAAGAATCTGAAGCACAACAAATAAAAATATTGTTTAAATTTTATTAATTGAAAGTCAACCAAGACTACAAATGTATCTCCAAGACACAACTGTATAATTTAAGGAAAATTAAATAGTAACACCTGTCCTTTGTTAATACTGAAATAATATGGTTCTAGCTTCCTAATGCAGAGTTGCATACATAAGGAGGTATTAATGTCTGAGAAGATAAACTGGAGATATACCTAATAAACCAAACAAAATTTTTTTTTTTTTTTTGTCTTTTTCCTTTTTATCCGTACTGGGGATCGAACTCACGACTGCCTGCTTGCAAGGCAGGTGCTTATGCCACAGAGCTAAATCTCCAGCCCCAAACCAAACAAAATTTAAGAGTACTTAAGAAAAACCTAAAATCTTTAAGAATTAAATATCAACTCAGAGTTGTATTTGTTAAGATGCAAACATCACTTTAAAAAATAAACATAAAATTATTGAATGAGTCAGAGAAAGATATGTTTTTCACTTTAAAAATATGTATCATCCTGACCCATAGCTCTAATTTCTTTATTTAATTCATATATGGTTTGTAGTAAGTCATTCAGAAATTGCTAAGGTTAAAAAATAGCAAGGGAAGATGAGGGCAAGATTTGATGCATTTTTTTTACTTGTCAAATTGTATAATTTATTGTGATATTTTCAAATAAGAGTATAAGTGTTACTTTATTATGAGTAAACTAATTTCAAACTGTTTTTGAAAATTTCCCCCATTTACCTGTGAATACTGACCTAGGGAAGATAATCAATTTTAAAAATTCTGTTTATAAACATAACCTGCATGCTTAAAGCATACCTTATTCTATAAAATTAATCATTTAATTACGATACAAATCTGTTTGTATCACATAATATTTACTTAAGTGGTAAAATAAATATAAAATTAACTTTACCAGATTAGTTTATATAGAGCTTCTTAATCAAAACACATTTACTCTGAACCTAAACTACAGATCAATAAACTACAAGTTATTTGGAAGAATGTGCTTCTTTTCCTAAGGCAATAAATGCACTTTATCTTATCTTCAAGAAGCCCACATATTAGCTGTTTTTGGCTCACGTCCCTGAAGTATCCTCCTTAGCTTATGTTCCATTTGCTTGGTTTGCCTAAATCTTGAAAATTTTCCTTCTCAACACAGGAGCTATTTTTAAAACTCCCCATAGGATTTTTGGGAGAGGGAAAATCATTTATCTACTTTTCTGTCTGTGGTTTCTGTCGGTGAGAAAGGAGCCTGTTACAGAATCTTCCACTGAAAACACGCTCATGTACTTACAATGGTGTATGGTGACTAGAAGGGTAAGATGAGCCCCATCACGCCCAAGAAGCTCCAGCCATGAGTGAGGCCTGGCACTGCATAACAAGGCTAATCGCACACTGCAGAATTCGAGTTGGACCCATTACTTTCTTCCTTAGAGCTAAAGCTGCCTCAGAAATTGAAGAGTAATCTTTTTCATTTTAAAGCTAAAGGAATTGAGGTGGGCATGGTGGGTTGCACCTATATTCCCAGCAAACCAGAGGCAGAGGCAGAAGGATTGCCAAGAGATTGGGGCCAGCCTGGGCTACACAGTGAGATTTAGGTCAACCTTAACTACATTTGAGACCCTGTCTCAAACAAACAAACGAACTCCCAAAAATAGATAAGAAAACTGATGCCAAGATAATATGTGTGTCATATGCCTGTTGATATAGTAGTTTATGAAAATGCTTTATACAAGTTAGATTCCTTTGAATTTAATTTTATCTGTTCAATTATTTAAAGTTAAAAAGCATTTATTGAGCCAGCATCTTATTTAGAGTTTTAATTCTCATATTGAAAATATGGCTATGAATTGCCAAAAACTCTATCCCTGTCCTCATAGATGTTATACTATGGGAATTACACTGATAATTACTTGTATAACAGCTCTTACACAGCACTCTCAAAAAATAAATAGTTGTATTTTAGAGTTGTGCCTCAACCAGATGGTACATTAAATCACCAACAGTCAGAAATTCATGAGCCATTTTCTTTGTCCCTTAGGTTAGTAAAAAAAAAAAAAAAAAAAAATCTTATGATAAAATCATGCTATTATATTCCAAGTTTTAAATTCTAAAATCTTGTTTCTTAAAGAAGTATAGTATTGTCCTATAGTCAACCAGTTATTAAAACCAGCATTTTATTAGTAAAAGCTTTGAACTTCATTGGAGTTTTATGTCCAGATTGAGTATTTGACTTCTTTAGAAAACAGAATGACAACGGGTGTCGAATAATGTCTTTGGAGAATGTTACATTTACAAATGAGAAATAAAAATGCAAATTATAAGCATGCCTCAATTTTTACTTCACAAATTACGGTGGTGGACATAAATTCCCCAGTCTTTAGGCACATTTGGTCACTGTGAATCAAATGAAGAATCAAGATATCCTGAGCAACACTTTCATTTAGGAGATCTTGTCCATAAACTGTTCAAATTATGTAGAAAGAATGATCTCAGAGTTGAAAGCAATAATTTTGTAGTTAATTACTTTAATGTTTAACTTAATTTTCTGTTTTCTTTCTCTCTACAGATAATTGCATGAGTTGGTCTCCTGCTTACCCCCACTTTTTTGCCATTCCAAACATATGGAAACAAAGCAGATTCATAGCTCTAAGAATGCACTGATTATAGACATAGAGGCAACAGAAGCCTGAATTAGCTTCCTTCTTACCATTGAAACTATATGAGCCAGATGTTATGACCTCAGTTTAAATGATGTGGGTGGCTTCATTTGTTCAGGCTTTGTGTGTTTGCTTAGACCATGAAATCATAGTATTACAGATACTCCAAAGGAAGGCATAGTTAAATCTTTACAGCATGAAGTTTAGATGATAATATGAGTTTATGGTTGAGTCAGTGTCAAAGAATAATGTTATTATCAGAGAGAAAAATAGACATACTCATTATCAGAATCACTGATGCTGGTAGAAAAGAGAGTGGAAAAAACACAAATATGTTTGTATCTCTGGTTGATTTCCTGTTGATGGGCTTAGTACATGGGAACAAAATATTCATTTTACAAATATATTAGACATTGTTGGTGTTTCACCAAAAGTAACCATACAGAAGAAAATTGAAAAATGTACTTCAGAGAGAATGATTTATTTCTTGTGATACAGTTAATTCTGAGGAATACTTGATGTAAAGTTATTTTAATGTTTTTAAATGATAACAGAAGACTGTGTCTTACAAATCGTAAGCATGATTCTATACCAGTGATATATTACTTTCTTTAACTGTCTTTAAACTTACTTGGCTGTAATGTCAGGAAGTGTGAACAATGATTTTTTTCAGGCTAGATTATGCACAATGTTTTTTTTTTTTTAATGTGAATCCATGCACAATATTTTGATTTACTGGTTTATCCTGTTTGGTAATATTATCTCAACTGTAAATATTAGATGTATTCTACCAGATGGTAGCTGACACTAATATTTGGAATAATTATTTATAATAAAGCTAAATAATACTAAAAAAGGAAATAATGAAAATCATATTTTAAATGTATATAAATTTTTGGTAATTAAGATGAAACAATGAAATATAACAATCATAGTAGAAACTAGAAAATATTGTAATTAAAACAATTATGTATGCTCAGAATTCTAAGTGATAGGCTATGGGGTTTAAATACTAATTTCTAATTTCTGCCTCTGATATTTTTAAATCCCTTCACCAATATTTTCTATTCTTATTTTGAATGACTTATTTTCTATCCCTAATCCTTTTGCTAATCCAGGTTATTAAGGTCCACATCACTGAGTTTTTGGCAACCATATCCTCCAGTTCAGAACCATATTAATATATGGATAAAATTCTACTTCTCTAAGCAATCATGTTATAACTATCACATTTTCAGTTTTATTTTGCAAGCAAGATTATTTGATTTCCAACATCATTTTTGTAACATGTTATTAATAGTTCTTGTGGATGTATGTCACAATGCATGTTAATAACTCTTAAAAAGCCTCAAGAATCTCAGTAAACTAAATGTAATTCTTGCTAATATCCTATATACTGCAAGCTATATGACTCTCCTGAGATTTGTCCCATTTTAGTCATTAAAGGTGAATTTTATTACTCTTCTCTCACTCAGAACACATTTACTAGTTCCCAAAAGCTCCAGGGTCCAATGCTGAGTGTTCTCATTCATATGTAGAACCAATAAAGTTCATTTTGTAAGTGCATAGAGAAGTACTCACTAAAAGAAACAGTAGGGATCAGCGAATATAAATTATATCTATATAGTTAATATTAAACCATAGTTTTTATACAAGAATAAATATATTTTAATGGTATACAGCAGAAAGTTGACTATAGTTTACTGAATATTTTATAACAAATGGCTAGGAATTCAAAAGTTACCATCACAAATAAGTGATTACATGCATAAAAATATAGAAATCCTATATTGTGATACAGTCATTACCAACTGTATATATGCAACATCAACTCATTATGCTGTACTCCATAAATATTTGTAATTATTTTACCAATTAAAAATAAAAGAAAATTTTTTTCTGGGAATTGAACTCATGACCTAGTACTTGCCAGGCAGGTGCTTGTACCACTAAGCTAAATTCTCTGCCCCTCAAAAAAATTTCTTTAAAAAAGTTTCACCATCCAGCTCCCATGAAGATCGGACTCAGAACCATTGGTTAATCCATAGATTTTTTCAATATGTCTATATTTTCCATTTTCAGAAAAGAGACTTAGGAATGACCATAGACATATCATTGCATACACACACACACACACACACACACACACACACACACACACACATATATGCAGACCACCGAAATGCATAGAGATAGAATAAATAAATCAAAACAGGAATAACATATTCTTGGAAAACAGAAGGATTGCATGCACACAAAGAAACTGATCCATCTGATTCCTGAAACCTGTAATACCCAAGATTCAGTAAATGTGTCTTCCTCCATTGTGTGGCTTTGTTATATTACAATTTTGGGTTCATTTATTAGAGTATTTTGAGAAATAGGGTAGTGTATTTCAAGTGTTAAAAATTGTCTTATAAACAAATAACAAAATGCCACTTATACCTAGGGAAGTAAGATCGTAGTCTTAAAGGACATAATGTTGAAGCATTTGATTTTCATATTTGCAATATAGAAACAAAATATGGCTTCAGGCTATGTCAAAATTCCTCAAATAATGCATTAAATTGAGATACTCTTGCATTTACAGAAGCAATGAAAAATAATAAATTGCCAAATAATGTATTATTTATCTAGGTAAATTATATCAAATGTAATATGAAAACTAAACCTACTTTATTTTATTTATATTCAACCTAACTGAGCATAGTTCACATATCTCATCTAGTGTCAAACAGAAAACTTCAACCAATTCTGAATTTATATCACTCTGAACAAATATGAGCCATTGTCCTATAATGGAAAAAATCATTGTCTAAGCTTTTAATTTAGATGGTATGACCTTGAAATTACTTTGCCTAAAAAATGTATTGCATAACATATGAATATCCTTTCTACTTAGGAGTATTCCTACTTTATTTGAAAGAAATAAACTCAACATTTAAATTTACCTATCATCCCACTATTTATCTATTTTTCTTTAGAAATTTTTGTATTTTAAATTTTATTACTCAAAAAATTTGTGTTTCAGAATAGATGGATGTATTAGGCAGAAAAGGAGAGTTTATTGAGAATAGTCAAGGACGAATGAATGACAATGAATGACATTCGGTCATTTACACATACACATATGCACGCATGTACAGACACGCATATGGACATGTACAGACACGCATATGGACACACATTCTTCTCCTTTACTCTCTGAATCCATGAAGGCATTTTTTCTTCAAAGCACATATATACAAGCATCAATCCAATCACTGTCTTGCACCTTAGATTTATGCAAATCTGGTTAAGTGCATCTGATTTTAGTTCTTAATTATCTTTTCTCATAGTGCAAATTTTAGATAAAAAACTGCACAATTTATTTGCAGCTATATGCATATGAAATCTCATATAAAAGCACATATGCATGTCAATTTTACTGGATCTACAAGAGGATAGCTTTGAAAGAATTTTCCAGAAGACAAATAGAAAGCCAAGTTAAGATTAAAATTCAACAATAGAAATGGATAGATTTTCATGGGTGACAGTTTTTAGAAATGGTTTATGTATTTTATTGAAAAATGTCACATCACAGCTCAACAGATCCTTTCAAGCTAATCTACCGTATTATTTCAAGAAGGATATTGGTTTCAAAAATAGTAATTTATTTAAATGCTACCATGGGTACTGCTAGAAAAGTCTCAAAGATTATTATGAGTTTTAAATGCTATATTTAAAAAGTATTTGACCTATGCAGATGAAGTTGCTTTACTTGAGTTCAAGCTGCATCTCTAAAAAGGAAATCATTTTTATGACTCGTTGATTTCTAATATAATTAAATATTTATTAAGATGCAATGATACACTGAGTTGACAAAATAGTAGAATAATATTTACTTTAATTAATGTAGTATCTTAACAATCCTGAAGGAAAAATGATGTCTTCATTATTTTCTTGTGGCTGGTATAGACTACCCGACATCCACTTCTTAAAGGAGGAAAGGTTTACTATGCCTCATAATTTGTGGAAGTTTTAGTCAGTAGTACACAGCCTCAAAGGCAGGGCAGCACAAAAGAGAGACAAACTGGTGTTGGTGATGAGAAACAGAGTGAGGGAGCAAGTAAGTATGTTGGGAGATACATCCTTCCATACCTATCCCTAGTGACCTACGTCCTCCCCTAGGCTTCAGCTAAATTTTATTTAGCTCTAAAGCCACTTATGACGAACACCATGCCCGGATGATTCAATTGTCTCACAAATGCCTCAACTATAAACACATAAGGTATTGGGAGAAGGGTTCAACTAGATATAAATCATAACATGCCACCCTGATCCCTGAAAGATTCATGGGCATCCCTTTATGCAAACTGCATTTAGTACGTCTCTAAGAGTTCCCAATGTCTAAACAGTTTCAGCATTGCTGGAAATTCCAAATATAAGTTCTCCTCTCAGATTTCAGGGAAAATCTTTATCTGTGTAAAAAAAAAAAAAAAAAAAAAAAAAAAAAAAAAAAAAAAAAAGGAATGCAAAGTTAAACACTGCGAAAATATAAAGGTGTAGGATAAGTATTCCCATTTCAAAAGGGAGACATAGGAGGAGAGAAAAGAATGGGACCAAAGCAGGACTGAAATCCACTCCAGCAGGCCAAACATTCAATCCCATATTTCCATGTCTAGCACCCAGAGTAATCTGTGAGACATGAATCCAAAGAATTTGGACAATCCCACCCCTGTAGCTTCTGAGGCCTCTTTGTGTGCTGATTTTGCTCACTTCTTTTGGTTTTTCCTCAGACAATCCACGTTCTGCCTTTTCCAACAGCCTGGGGTCGTCACTGCTCTTAAGGATTCATCCTGAGAGCTTTACACTGCCTGTCCTCCGAGGTACCTCCCAGGGTTTCTTCTGAAATGTGGTGGGGAGAAGCCTTCCTGACCTCATAGCTCTTACATTATAACGTGTATAAAACCAGCACCAGGCGGATGACCCAATATCTGCTTCCATTCTAAGCAAGAGTTGAGCCCTTTTGAATCATCTTCCACTGTTTTTGTTTTGTTTTGTTTTGGTACTGAGGATTGAACTTACAAGCTTGTGCTTGCACGGCAGGATGCTATGCTGCTGAGTTATATTCCCAGCCCGTTCTTTTTTAATCTTGAAGGTGTTACAGAGTCCCCTAAGTGTCTAGATGACTGAGCATAGAACAGAGCACCATTCTACCAACCTTCTCAAAGCACTATTCCACTTTCCCCATTTTGAACTCAAGGTTGGTGCCTTATATGTACCTACAATCCTTTTTTTCCTATTATTTCTATTCCAAAATAGTTGGACTCTTTTTGAAAATAACAACTTCACTTTGCAGGGCTCAAATTTACTAGTTTCCTTTATGGCCAAACTCATATTTTTTCTATAATTCTGCTGGACCATTTGCTTCTGATTCTCGAGGTAAGCTGAGGAGCAGCCACTTCCTCAAATTAGATTGCCTTGGCATTTCTTCTGCCAGATTAATTCATCTGATATCTTTTATCTCACTCTCCAGCAACGTCTAAAGTCAGAATCAAAATGCAGACATGTATTCTGCCAGATCATTATATCCATGGCCAGGATTCTAACTGTCAATGCAGTTCTGTTCCCACCTGAAACCTTCTGAACCTAGTCTTTATGGGCTCCCTATCTGTTAGCATTCTAGTCTTCTGAGCTTCTGAGCTACACAGCTTCTGTGATCAAGCTTGGCTTACAATATTCTAGGGATGATTCTACAGCTGACATAATCAGACCTTTCCAAATCTTTCTCTTGAAAACCAGTGCCAACGGCTTCTGAACTACATATGATCAGGTAACAGCATACCAACAACTCCACTCTAGATACCTGTATACAATACACATCCTTACACATATGTATTTCGTTGGTAGATAAAGATAGAATTCTGACCCACAGTAACTCAGATCTGTGCCTATTAATCACTATGAAATTAGAGAAAAACAACAAAATTCTCCTGACTTATGCAGCTCAACTACTTAAATGGAAGGTAGGTATATCTTTTAGATTGTCTTTACTGAATGTCCAGTTATTTTTTTAACCTTTCATATTTACTGTCTAAGTAGTCTTTACACATGGAGTTATCAAAAAAAAAAACAGTATATTTACTTTGGGTACTAGGATATTGTTATTTTCCTTAATAGATTGTATCAATAAATGTTGAGTCTCATCAGACGCTAAACTCATTTACTTTTCTGGGAATGGAAAAGATCCTTTGTGACAATGTCCTACATATGGCCACTTGCTGTGGACAGGCAGGACCAGTGGGGGAACTTGAGCCTTATTTGCTAAGGACTGGAAATAGATTAAGGCAGAAATTTCAGGTGTGAATGGTTGCAGGTAGCCCACCTCAACAGAGTCAAGGTTAATGGGTAGGGGGGCTCCTGAGGGGCCACTCTGAATCCTCGCTATCTTTAGCCTTTCTTCTTTGGTTCCTAGAAGCCCAGTGTGTCCAGGCCCTACCCATAATGCCCAATTTTTTATTCTAGAGTCTGGTGTAATTTCAGAGAATAACAAGATGGATGGTTTCAAGAATTTAAGGCAATTTTTCAGATGAGATACAATGAGCAAAATAGACACAAGCTCTTTTATTTAACAAGTTAATGCTTTTATCAGTTTGTCAAGGGTGAGGACAGATATTCAAAAACAGTAAAGTTAGAGAGCTGTGCATCTAGGCAGAAGTAAAACGACCTTGTGAACTTCAAATAAAAGCCACTTACTTCAAATAGATATGGACCCTTATCATAGAACTGTTTTATGGTATTGCATTAAAAAAGACTATCCTCACTTTCTTAGAAGTGTTTGATGAAAATGATGCTTTTAAGCCATTTGCCTTAGAGTGAGCAAAACTCCCCTCAAAATGTATT